AACTCTCTCTCTCACTCCCCTCCTCCCTGTCTGTCTGTGTCTCTCCCTCCCTTCCTCCCTTCCTCTCTCTCTCTCCCCCTCACTCTCCCGCTCTTTCTACTGCCTCTCCAGAGCGGCTGCAGTTCCCTGCTTCTCCACTCTCCCTCCATCTGTGTCTCTCCCTCCCTCCCTCCCTCCCTCCCTTCCTCTCTCTCTCTCTCTCTCTCTCACTCTCCCGCTCTTTCTACTGCCTCTCCAGAGCGGCTGCAGTTCCCTGCTTCTCCACTCTCTCTCCCTCCATCTCTCCAAGTGCTGGCGGAATACCGAGCTCAGACAAAGAAAGCTCAGGAGAACAGAGGAGAGAAGTGAAAGAGTGTGCGTTGAGGGACAAATAAAGCGTTTTAAAGAGAAAAAGACGGGTGCAGACTTTCAGACCTACGGTGTGTGAGGAGACAGAGAGAGGGAGAGAGAAAGACAGTGTCGCCATTTCAGTAGGTTTCACTTTGTTTACTTCTTGTTCTTCTTGTTTTGCCATGCTGGCATGTCGTGGCCTCATAATCTATGTGCCTTTACGAACAAGGAGTGTGCATGTTTGTCTGCGTGTGTGTGTGTTTGAGAGAAGAAGACATTCTAATGCGTTCATGAAGACATCACTTTTGCATTCCAACACACAGGGCTGCAGAGTAGCTGTCTGACAAAGTAAGCTCCGCTACCTCTTTGCCTTTCGAACTGCAACGCTATAGCTATCTGTCCGACTAGTGGTTGTTCCCAACTACATATACGCATGACACTCAATAATTAGCATCCAAAAAATTTATTTTTCACCCAAGCCTGACAGCTTATTCTTATGTAATACTTTAAAGCAAATCGTGATTTGGTACGCTTTTCCCTTTTGGCTAATTGTGCATGTTTAGGAGCAAAATTACAGGAGCGTCTTACACATTTTCACCTCAGGAGAATGACTGTGTGACTCCGAAAGTTGAGTGATTATGAAGTTGAATATGAGTTGCGGCAGGGCTTTGCTGGATGGGGCTGTTGTAGATTTACCTGTGGAACAAAGAGAAGAAAAGAGTTGCTTGTAGAAATGGGGCTCATTAAACAGCCACTGATAATGCAGCCATAGGTGTGAATATATTATATATAATATGTTATATAATGTCAACCAGTGACACGCCATAGGGTGATTTAATTAGGTATGCACTGGACTTCCATCATGGAGATTATTATTATTATTATTATTATTATTATTATACTGGATTAAAATATTATCAAACAACAAAATTATTAAAAACACAACAAATAATAATTATTATTTATTAACAATAATAATAATAATGATTATTATTATTATTATTGCTGCTATTTGTTATTTATGATGATTCACTTTATTACAATTATTATTAACAATATAATTAATAAAAAAAAATAGAATAATTTATGAGACCAAAACTTTATAATATTTTTCTATTATTTAAATATAATAATTAAACATAATGTTTATGATAATAAACAAAGTTTTAATATCTTGTTTAGTTATTATCGTGAAACCAACTAATATTAATATGAAATATAATAAAGTATAATTTAAAAATAATAATAATCATTCTTCTTAGCCGGTTGTAAGATTTCCTAACGATACTAATTAAAACATTCAAACTGTCTCGCATAGATTTTAAGTCACTTTAGATAAAAGCACCTGCTAAATGCACAAGATAAATGAATGTAGATTATCTGGTGTGCAAATCTCACACACAATGATAGACAGCAGTGCATATCTGCATCAGTGATGGAGTATAGTTTTAGAGAAGACATTGTGCATTATTCATATGTACAAGCATCTGAACACATGTTTATGCAATGAAGGGTGATATTGTTGACTGGGGGTGTTGTTAGTTACACTTGCCCTTTTCAACTGATCAGAAAGCAGTCATATCTAGTCATAATAATAGCTCAGGAGAAGTTCAAGTGGGAGGTTCTGATCCTGGATCAGCAGTGAGACGTCTCAGCAGGAGTTCAGGAGAGAGCTGTCACACTTATGAATACTGTATGTGATCTCATGACTCTATAGATAATGCTTGTTGGTTAAATTAACCTTTCCATAGCAAAATTCTTAGAAACGCTGATATGACAGTGACATATAGACTTGCAATGTGACTTATATACTGCGTTTCTGCTTTTTTCATTTCTTCTTTGTGTTCTTGTTTTTCTTTTAGCTCCCGGTTTGGTTTGAGGAACTAACTGGCTAACTACAAGAGATGACATTAGATCAGTAGAGAAATTCCCATTAAAAGCGGCCTTACTCGTGTGCATTCCTGTCAGCAAAGTGCCGCATTTAGGATCAGAACCTGAGCAGGCTGAGGGTAAGCTTGGGTTTGAGGAGAAGAAAGGGTCCTCAGGAGACGATGTGATTTGTCTGGCTAGAAGCTCCATGACCCCAGAGGGTTTCCTTGCTTCGGTGAGCCATTTACACACCGAGAAAGAGAAAGACAGTGAGAAAAGGAGAGGTAGAGGGAAACAGAGAGAGAAATCTTGCCCATTTCACAATCTTACAGGTTTAATGAGTCGCCAACCAACCCCCACCACCCCTTATCCACCCCATACACACACACTCACTCACACACACACACACAGGTTTGTTTTTGTGAAAAGTGGGGACATCCCATAGGCGTAATGGTTTTTCTACTGTACAGACCGTATATTCTATTGCCCTACACCAACCCTACCCCTAAACCTACCCCTCACAGGAAACTTTGTGCTATTTCAGATTTTCAATACACTCCATTCTGTGTGATTTATATGCGTTTTGAAAAGTGGGGACATGGGGTAATGTCCTGAAAAGTCACCTTCTCCTTGTAATACCTATGTCATACCCTTGTCATTATACAAATTTATGTCCTCATTTGTCACAAAAACGCGCACACATATACACACAAACACTAACCACTCTGTCTGATGTGTGGCAATGGCTCAGATAAAAATAGCATCGTTGGTGAAGGCAGCTTGGGAAAGAACAAAATTGGATAGATTTAATTTATGTGGATATTACATGTATTATCCTGACCGCATTTACTTATGCCTGTATGTTTTGCTCATTTGTCTGTGGCTTTTTTACTGAGTTTGTGTTTTGAGAAATTATTGACTAGTTTTAATATTTTTAAAGTGATACTTCAATACCACCTGCACTGATTTTTGTGTTACGTTCATTGGAATGTCAGAGCCGTCCGTGCGGGAATCACATTCTAGTCATAATAATGTCATCGCAATGCTAACAATGCACAATGAGTGTGTTTATATGTACAACAAATGCTTTCAAAAATCAGCTTGTTATAAAAACCGGATAACATGTTTAGGTGACTTTTTTTTTTAGCTTTTTTGGATGTCAGAATGTAAACAGACATGAGTACATTGAATATGAATGAAATTTGATGTATAATGCAAAAATATATGTGTAGATTGTCAGGTTATTTAGCATAATTGGCATAAAATTGTGCATGTAAATGCTCTCTTTGTTATACATAGTCCTATACCAACAGATAGTGCTAGTCAGTGCTTATGCTGTCAAAGTGAGTGAGATTTTCTCATTCCAGCCTACCTATCAAACTTATGCCAAACTCCTTTCCAATTCCCCTCTGGTTCCAGCAGATGTTACTTCAAGCTGGAGTGAAACTCCTGGGCTTCTTGGTGTTAGCATGACACTAACCAAGCCATTTAATAATACATTCATAATCTACTGTGTTCAGTACCAAAAAGTTTACAGAAAGGTTAAGTAGCTCTGATGGTATTAATGGCGGAGTTTTGCTGAATCATGTGGTGCTACAGGAATGTTGTCAGGCTGACAGACAGGCTTTTATTGGCTGATGAGCATGGACACACACATACACACCCAGCGGGCCATTCAGTGTTCACGCCATGCTCATTAAGACTGAAAAACCACAATATCTCAATTGCTTTTTTTCCAGTGTATGAATATTAATATGGGAATTTTTGGCTGAATCAATGAATTTGGTGCTAGTGAGCATATGATTCACTCTGCAGTGGTTTGTGATGATGACATAATAACATAAAGTATATTAATAAGGATATTTTCTGACACCCGCATTTATAGTGTGTATGCAAATTTATTTGTATGAAGTAAATGTAATTAAAAGTAGAATAAAATTTACAATAAAGAAATTCAAATATAAAATACAATATTTTAGAACAAATTCTTCTCCATGTTTAGCCAATGTAAATATCAGTGTCTCTCATATTTGCTTTCTGAATACTCTAAACAGACATGAAACTAAAGATTTAGCATCAACACCTATTCTTGGCAGACTGCAGCAATGAATGGCAAAGTATCACTATATTGAATGCTTGAAAATAAGCATTACTAATAGTGCGCTTGAATTGAAAAACATCTTTCATTCTAAGAACAGAAATCCAATTTTACATTTTCCAACTTTTTCACTAGTAAATTATCTCTGTGAACAATGCCCAACAGAATTCAGTACAGAAGAGATGGAAGGACCGATGAAGTCTACTGTAGCTCTGAATCAACAGTTGTATTATGTATAAAGGTGCATTATTTATATAAATAGGTCATGGTGTAGAGGTTATTTGTTCCTCCGGAAACCTGTCACTCTTAAGAGAGTTCATCGTATTCAGACAGGTTATTGTATATGAAGGCTATAACACTCTTTTAGATTATTCTGTTGCCATTTTCATGGGAAGCCCTGATCTACATTAGATGCTGCTGTGACCTAGTTGAGTTGAGAGAGGGAGGGAGAGGGAGGAAAATAGAGAGAGAGAGAAAGAAAGGAAGACTGAGACAACCAAACACAGGGAATGAGAGGTTTGTGTGGAGGTGAATAAAACATTCAGGGGCAGCCCAGGTTAGATCCCAGGATTCAGGATCAGCAGGCATGCAGTGTAAACAAATCCAACCTTACCTCTCACCCCTTGTAAACATCTGCATCCCAGCAGTGTCTCAGGCTAAATTAGGACTGTGGTAGTTTTAAATGACATAATATAGTCGCAAAATGTAATTTTCTTTAAAAAAAAAAAAAAAAAAAACCCGGGGCAGTGGGGGAAAGCAATGATAGAATAATCAAATGAAACTAAACATATAATTATGCAAAATTAGGAGTGTACCAAAATGTATAAGGCTACTCAAAAAAACTCGAAAACTTAAACTGAAAACTATAACCGAGCCGTCTCTTCCTACACAGAAATGGTGACTCAACCAATGGTGCGTCCCATCCCCAATTCGCGCCATTGGTTGAGTCAGCATTTCTGTGTAGGAAGAGACGGTTCGGTTATAGTTTTTAGTTTAAGTTTTCGAGGTTTTTTTTGTTGTTGTTGTTGTTGTTTAGAAGTGTCATATTCGGAAAGTTATTTAGAAAACAGCAGGGTTAATTTTTGCAGCTCCGTTCGGAGGCTCTCCTTTTCACTGCAGCTGATAACTGAGACGCAAGATTGCGCGAAATGCATTTGTATTTATATTAAACGA